TACAAAATTGGAATCAATTGCACAGGCTATAACAAGCAGCTCAGGGAATGAAGCTTAAATATCCTTCTTCTCTCTCCCATGCTCCTTGAACTGCCGCTGATGTGGAGGAAACCAGAGTGAGTTACTGCTTGACCTTGTGCATGACACCTTCAGACTGCTCCAAGGAAATTCCCTGTCGGTTCATTAACATTGTCCATGTTTTTCAGTACCTTTCAGGTTTTTTGTTTGTTTGTTTTTGTTTTTTGTGGCCAGCTCAGCTCACCCTGGGGGCGGGCTGGCACAGTATGTGGTGCCGGGGATTGAACCACGGTGCCTGTGCTTGCCTAAGCATGCCTAAGCAGGTGCTTTCAACCACTGAGCTATCTTGCCGGCCCTAATTTTAGTTATTTTTAAACCAATACCTGCTAACTGCAACAGGTGGACCATATGACTGATGACTTACATCAGTAACTAATTGGTTTTTCTCTTCCCTTATAGTTATGGTCCCTCTTGACTATACTACTTCTTCAAATTTCCTGTAAATTTCTTATAACATGGCATTACTATAAAAGAGAGAGAGAGAGAGAGAGAGAGAGAGAGAGAGAGAGAGAAGAAATCAATGCCCAGAACATGGCATGACTCTTCCTCTGTCAGGTTGAAGACATTGATGGCTAAACAGATCTCATTTATATTTGGCAAGTGTCCAGTCTTTTGAAGAATGTACTCGATTCAGTTCACACACAGCTCTAAATAATTAGAAGGCATCCTGGGCGTTTCCCCACTGCTTGGACACAATGTCCAACACCCACAACGCCAAGGAGGAAAGGTTTATTTCAATCGACTGCCTCAGTGGGTGTCCATCTGTCCCCAGGGCAGACACACCAGGGTGGACGTTCACAGAGGTCAAGGGAGCAGAGAGACCGAAAGAGCCAGGGCCGAGAACACACCCTTGCAGGCCTCTCCCGACCCCTTGCAGCCAGGCGCCACCTGCTAACAACACAGCCACTCCACTCGCAGATGGGTGCCTCTCCCAAAGACTGCAGCACCCCACTTTCCAAACTCTGGAGATTCCGAGGGATGTTTTAGTTCTACCCCATACCAAGAGTGCAAATCAGATCGAGCCCTTCCGCATCACGGCCCGTCATTGCCTTAGCAAAATGTTATGTTTATGATATACAGTCCCATTGCCAAATTCCTCAACCACAGGAGACATCGCCTTGATTTTCAGCCTTCCATCTTTTCCGTTTAATTAATTGAGTTTTGTCACCTGAGCGCTGATGCTTCGCTCTATGATGTATGCTGGGAGATACCTCCACCTTCGCACTGCGCGCCCAGTCTTAAGCACAGCGATGCTTTTGGCCCAGCGAGGCCCATCCCACCTCAGTGCTACCCGTTCCTTCTGCCCCCTTTTCCCGCGACTGCCCCCTGGTGGTTCCATGTATTACACACATTTTGGTAATGGCTGCGCACCTTTCTGTCAGTCTTTCCTGTTTTTCCTACCTTTCCCTAACCTTTGGTATACTGTTCCCAGGCACATAGTGAGGACCACGTGGTAAAGCATTCATAGATGGCATATTCACATTTGGTGACACAGATGCCACATGATTCTAATCAGTCATTTCAGCCCATTGGACCATAAGGGTTTGTTTGATGTAGGCTGCTTTCTCCTTACATCTGATGTTGTTAGTGGTACTCTTCTTTTACAATATGCTTCAAAATCAAGGCATCTGCAGGAAGCTTCTTCCCTATAAATAGCTCCTTCCAAAGGCCGGTGAGATAACTCAGTGACTAAGCACGTGCTTTAGCAAAAACAAGGCCAGGGATTCGGTCCCCAGTCTTACATGCCACACTGGCACTGCTGCGAACAAGTCCAGGTGTGGTGGCGTATGCCTTGTAAGCCCAGAGCTGGGGAGGCTAGAAACGGGAGGGTCATTACGAGTCCAAGCTGTGTAGTGAGACCCTGTACCAAATGCATGAAATGAATAAATAAATAAATAAATAAATAAATAGCTCCTTCCTAGTATAGGGGAGTGACTACCTCTGCCATCAACTCAAGCAGACACTTTTGTTGCTAACGTAATCGGTTTTTGTAATGGTGGTCAGCAAACAAAGAGATGCTTACTAATCAAACCTGAAAAAAAGAGTCATTTTAAGGTCCTTTGTGCCCTCATCTATCAGATGGATTAGAGATAATTAATATCAGAAGCCAGATGTCACATGGCTGTATTCCCAGCAGAGAAGGGGGGAATGAAGCAAGAAGACTGAAAATTCTTGGGCAACTAAGTGACGAAGCAGTAGCCTGTCTAAAAACAAAACAGTAAAAGAAGATGAGAGGAGTAGCTTGGGGCAGAGGCTAAGAGTCTGTTACAATTAAGTAGATACAGAAGATCCCTGAATTATTCTTTTACTACACTGCTGACCTCTATCATGTTCAAGATGTTCATGTTTTTATTCCCAATGTATGTTGGCCTCTGGCCTATGTTCATGCACTTGGGAGTGTGCCCCTTTGAGGCTTTGCCATCAGGCTTGTCTTAGCCTCTTATGAAGGACACGCTGGGTATCCAGAGATTTTAGGGAATATGCAAAAAGCAAACGAATGCAACCCCCAATGCTACGTCTTAGTAATTTTTCTCTCATTGCTGAGACAAAATACCCAACACTCAAGATTAAAGGAGGAAAGGTTTATTTAGCTCACAGTTTGTAGAAGTTTCAGTTGACAATTAGCTGGCTCCTAAGTAGAGTGGACGTGGCAGGGGGCAACAGCTCATGGGGGCAGAAGATGGCAACTGCAACAGAGGAGGATAGCAAGCCTATTTCTGCCCTTTATATTGAATCCAGTTGACTGAGATTAGGGCCGTGCTAATCCAATCAATGGCCTGAGGTAGCAATCACCACCCTTCACCCCGGCGCCTTGAATCTCAGCACTGATTGCGCTATGAATCAGTGACACACTCCAGATCTGGCCACCTCCAAAAAAAACATCTAAAACTGCATGGGCCTTTGGGGGGCAGGAAGAGACACATTTAGACACAAACCACAACACACTGCAAGTAGATCTTACATGAATAGATCTTACCTGTGTCCAGTAATGACAATTTATGGACAACACCTAGACTTATAGGTTGTCTTTTCCAATTTACACCCAGTCGGTAGCACATGACTTTGTTTGTAGCTTATTTCTCTAGGTAAACACATAAAGTGTTTTCTTTATTGAGTTTCCAAGTGATATTGAGGCCCTGTAATGACCTTGAAATATTTATCGAAGCTCTTTCATGTGTGGTCTCCATCCAAATGATCCAGGCTCTCCTCCTTTCAGCTCCACCTTTTACCCAAGATATGAATCTTTTATCTATTTTTGTAGTTCAAGGCAGCCGCCAGTAACATCATCTCGTACTTGCTGTAATACAGGAAACTAAACGTCATAACCTTCAGCAAAACGAACCCCATCAAGCAAACTGAATAAAGCGCCTCTGAAGTGAGATTTTATGAACTGCTTATTTTGTGTCTTGCAGAGAGTGACATCCGGGGAGGCACGCAAGAGGAAAGAGCAGGAGAGACAGAAAGGCTTATTGAGATGGAACAAATTCTCTCTTCACTGACAGAAAGGAGAAAGCCAGTAAGTGGCATGGCTCTCTGGGGACAGCAAGTCTGTGCCATTGCCAAGGTTCGCTTCTTAAAGTTAAAGCACGAGAGAAAAGCTCTTTTATCACTGTAAGTATCACAGGGCTGTAGGTCCTTTTTCATGAATGCATTTTCAAAACTAAGAGAGAGAACTTTAAGAACACAAAAAATGTTTAAATATTCCCTGCATCTAAAAAACTGGGTGACGTATAGAACCCAGTTTATCCTGTGGTCTAGTAGGACACTAGCAGATGAATAATTGCTACATGTTTAATTTTCATAGTCTCTGAATCTCATTACAGTGTAATCTGTTCAGATGATTTGAGCAGGGAGGAAATGACTGTCCTTCCCATTGGCAATTTTCTTCTGTGTAGGTTGTTGATTCTGCTGTTCGGGTTCTCCCTCGTTCTTCTTGACTATGTTTTTGTGAAAATACACCAGCACAGTTACACTTGGGAACTCTCTCCTCGTTCGTACTTCCTTGCTCCCGGACAGCAGCCTCATGCCCCTCTCACTCCACTGTTGATCATCAACCACACAGGTAATGAAGAATTTCAAGATTATCATCCATGGTGGGGCGTGCATCCATGTACTGATTTTTCATTCTTACATTGTTGAATAATAATACTGTATACCACGTGTCACTCAACATTCACGTGCACATGGATGCCTCCCTTGATAGTTATTCTGAGTAATGCTTCAACACGTGTTCACGGCAACTTCTCATGCGAGCATGAAAGGCTACTGGGTTATCATCCTAGGAGTAGAATTCGTGGATTAGATGATAACTCAGCTTAACTGTGTAAGAAAGTGTTTTTTTCACTGAGAGTGCCTGAGTTTATATTAGGGATGTATGAAGGTTTGAATTTCTAAATATCTTTGCCAACACCCATTATTTTCTGTCTCCTTTATTGTAACTGTCACAGGGTGTCAAGGGACATCGCGTGGGGTTTATTTGCATTTTGCTAGCATCGAATGACTTTGTGAAGTTTTTCAGGGTTTAGTGATTCACTCAAGTGTTCTTACCGAGTCCTACTAGATGTCCTTAAGCACAATGTTTGCCATTTTCTGTATGTGCTCAGGACGGCTTAGTGAGATTTTTATTTCTTTATTGGCCTGTGGTTCCCATGCATAATGGTTACATTCATTTTGGGGAATGATCAGATGCTTGTAACACATCTCAATCATTTTCAGCGCCTGTACACTCTATCCTCCTCTCCCCACCCCTTTTCATCTCCAAATGCCTGCCTCTTTATTTCCTACCATTTTCCCTTTATTTTCCCTTTTATTTATTTATATTTCAGGGTTTTCATGTAAGAAAAACTATCTGATATTTAACTTTCTGCATCTGACTTAGTTCAGTTACTGTCATGGTCTCAAATTCCATTTTCCCGCCAATGAAATGATTCCATTCTTCTCTGTGGCCGAATAATATTCTGACACACATAAATACCACATTTCCTTCATGCACTCTCCTGTGGCTGGGCATCTAGGATACTTGCAGAGCTTAGCTACTGTATATTATGGTGCCACAAACATAGCTATGTTTGTCACTATAGTGTGATATCTTTGATTCTTTTAGAAATGACCCAGAAGTATAGCTGGATCAAACAGAATTTCTCTTTCAGGTTTTTGAGGACTCTTCCCACTGATTTTCACAGTGGCTACACTAGTTGACACTTCCACCAACAGTGTGGAAGGGTTTCTTTTTTCTCACAACCTCACCAGCATGTGCTGATGACCCCATTTGACTGGGGCAACATGGAACCTCAGAGATCTTTCCGTTTGCATTTCCCTAATGGCTAAAGATAAGGCTTTCATGTATGCATTGGCCATCTGTGCTTCTTCTTTGGAGAAGTATTTATTTAATTTATTTGTCCATTTTCTGATTGAGTAATTGAATTGGGGCAGGAAAGTGACCAGCCGAGGGTTTTTAGCAGTGCATAACACTTATGGCTTTTTCTAAGGAGAGGATCTATCGAGTTCCTCATATCAAATTCCACAGATTATTTCCTGTCTCAAGAAATATTTTAAGGAGCCAGCCAAGTAGCTCAGCAGATTAAATTACCTACAAGCAGGCACAGGGGCTGAGTTCAGTCCCGGGGCCTGCTGCGCCAGCCCCAACCGCGGGGCATGCTGAGACAGCAATTGAGACTGGGCATGCTAGCGTGCGCCTGTAATCCCAGCACTTGGGAGGCTGTAAACAAATGGATCACTATTAGTCTGATCTAGTACTGAGACCCTGAACATTCTGTAGACCCTTCCCTAAAATACAGAAAAAAAAAAAAAGAGAGAAAAGAAATATTTTGAAAATCAGGTAATAATCCAGCACCAGAGGCAGAATTTTTAGCAAGTTGGCAATTAAGCAGTAGAGATTTTCTATTATGGAAAGCTGATTGGTTATAAATATTCACTGTAAGACTCTCGGCTTGGAGATCTATCTCAAAGTCCATGTGGTGCTAAGTTATTTGTACATTATCAGTGATCATAAGCAAATAAATAAATCATGACATAAACTTCTTGACACATGATGATTCTTAATTCATAAACACAAACATGTCATCATGGAAAAAAACACCCTGACAGGGCCAACCAGGTAGCTCAGTGGATTACAGCACCTGCTGGGCAGACGCAGAGACCTGGGTTTGATCCCTCGCATTCCCCTGCCAGACCCACCCCTGGGGTGCACTGAGATGGGATTGAGACTGGAAGTGGTGGTGCACGCCTATAATCCCAGCACTTGGGAGGCTGAAAACAGGCGGATCACTGTGAGTCTGATCTGTGTAGTGAGACCCTGTAGACCCTGCACTAAGTACAAAGAGCAAAAAATAACACCCTGACATATGACAGTAAATACTGTATGACACTAATCATAATTGAAATGCACAATTTGACATTGATCTTTTTTTAGCTTTGAAATGCCTAATACGTTAAATTGCACACCAGGGGCAAGCATTGACAAGTTTGTACGTTCTGTTGAGCGCCAGAACATTGCTGTGGAAGTAGATGTCTCCGGAAGTAGTGATGGGGAGGACAACCCAGCTTACAACGGTGCCGTCGTTGTGTCTACTAAAGAAAAGGTATGCTCATTTCTAATAATTCCCCCAAAAGTGTGGGCAGCTCATGTCACATCCATATTTTCCAGTCTCTGACTTAAGAAACAAAAAAGCAAATACTGTCTTCATTTATTTAGTGCAGTGCTTTGATTGATATAATAAATAAGTTATAAAACCATCATTGCCTATCAACATGAACTGCTTATATTAGGAGAATATATACTATATTAAGAGCATGTTTCCTCTTCAGAATTTTGTAATACATGTATTCTAGAGTTTCTGTTTTGATCTTAAAACAACAAATATTTAAAACCTGATTCTAGCCTTAATCAAAACGTCTGGGGCAG